TATTGAAAACCAACAACTGGTGAGTGAACATTGTTTTTCAAGGGTACACATATATGAACACACAATTATAATATAACATTTCATAATACTATTAATATTTCTATAGTTCTAGCCATGACTGCGTTTCAAGATTGGACATGACTTTATTTCACAGTTTATAGAATTGTTTAATATACTTGTATAAATTCATATTGGAATATTTAAGTAATAAGATTAACTTTGGTCGATTATAAGATTTCATTTACCTAACTGATGGAATTAAAAATTTATTTATCTAATTATAAACATTTTTTTATACGGTTTAATTTAAAGCATATACATATGCATACATATATTATTCCTTGGTAAAGTTTATTTATAAGAATTTCAAATCAAGAACAGAAAGCTTTTATAAATAAAATTAATATTTCCTGTAATTAAGGGGGGTAATTAAATTTTATAAGGTACATGTAAAATAAAAAATAAAAAGCATAAAAAAAGACTAAATTAATAATGTATAATTGTATGGGAATATATTTAGAAACGGTATAGCTAATGTCACGAATTTATCGTTGCATCAGTAGAAATTTATGATTGATCACTATAATGAGACAGACCCATATTGCAACCATTTAATTAATCCTATTATAACAATAAATAATTGTCGTTATTAAGCATTAATTTGATTTTGTAGCAGTGAACATAGACCGTGCAAACGTTCAAAGAAATAAAGTATTTATTTTTATCTAAGAGATCAGTTGACCAACAATGTTGGTCCTTTATACCTTTAAAAAGATATATAATATAACGTTTTTTTTAACATTAAAGATATGCGAGTAACGAATTTTTTGTAATTAGGATAACTTAGATACCGGTTGTGTACGTCTGTATGGAAACATATTATACGTTATAACGTTACTCTAAAAAACTAACACTATGTTTGTAAAGATACGTAAAATTCGACATTGAATACACAGCCTAAATTCATTTTTGAAAAGAGAATGGGAAAAGACAGACAGACTTTATTGTGGCTGATGCTGATTCCTGAGATATAAAAGAAGATTCGATATTGTCAAAGTACATTTTTGTATATGTGTCATTGCATAGTTTAATGTAGGCTTGATGGCAATTATACTGAAAATTAACTCGCATATTTGTAAAGATAAGTAAAATTCAATATGAGAAATACAAATAAACTCTCGAAAAGGTCAAAATATAAACAAAGAAACAGGCAACTGAGAGTTATATCGCTGTAATTCGTGCGAGCAAAAGATTTATTAAGAACCAAAAAAAACCAGACGTTTCGGCTTACATTCGAGCCATCCTCAATTTATCTGATCCATATACAATCAAATTCTTAGGTGATTTGATAGAAGAGTGCCCACTCATTCCGCTTCATTTATATCGACACCAGGTTAACAGATCAGGCGACCAAATAAATTGAAAGTGGATTCTATATAAATAATCCAACCATTATTAAGTTGTTAAAGAAAAAAGTAAAAAAATTAAAAACGTTAGAATGATCACTCACCTATCAAACCGTGAACATATTCACTCAAAAATTAAAAAAATTTCGCTGTATATCCGCAACCATAATTAGTAACAACTACATGTATGTAACAAAGCGACAGTCAGCAATCAAATGAGTAACTGTCAAAGATTTACCTTAAGCATCGGTTTACATGACTAAGAGCATAAACAACAAACAACGAAGACGATACTGATTGGACAACGAAGAACACAGATTGGAGCATGGCCACGATTTTGATTGGGAAAACACTGAGATTGTCGATAGTGAACGGTTTTTACATAGACGACGTATTTCTGAAATGCTACACATAAAATTACAAAAAAATGGCTTAAATCAACAATCCGACACCGAATTTCTATATCACGCGTACATTTCAATTCTTGACAATTTACATTAACTCAATGATATGTTGCATTAAGCCGTATTTCTATTCTTGTATTGTTGGAAGTATCGTCTTCGTTGTTTGTTGTTTATGCACTTAGTCATGAAAACCGATGCTTAAGGTAAATCTTTGACAGTTACTCATTTGATTGCTGACTGTCGCTTTGTTACATACATGTAGTTGTTACTAATTATGGTTGCGGATATACAGCGAAATTTTTTAAATTTTTAAGTGAATATGTTCACGGTTTGATAGGTGAGTGATCATTCTAACGTTTTTAATTTTTTTACTTTTTTCATTAACAACTAAATAATGGTTGGATTATTTATATAGAATCCACTTTCAATTTATTTGGTCGCCTGATCTGTTAACCTGGTGTCGATATAAATGAAGCGGAATGAGTGGGCACTCTTCTATCAAATCACCTAAGAATTTGATTGTATATGGATCAGATGCATTGAGGATGGCTTGAATGTAAGCCGAAACGTCTGGTTTTTTTTGGTACTTAATAAATCTTTTGCTCGCACGAATTACAGCGATATAACTCTCAGTTGCCTGTTTCTTTGTTTATATAAAACAGAAATTATAGGATTATATTTTAATTATATATTCATGGTATATTGTATAATAACCTCCTCCTAAGAAAGAAGAAATGGAGATAATCGATTTCCTGCCAAAGAGCAAATTATTTTCGTATTAATCTTTCTTATTTTTCGAGAAATAATAATATAAATAAATCGTAAAAATCAGAATATGCTAATCGTATTTCACAAAAATTATCAAACAGCTTATTTAGATTTTTCTCAGATTAACTATTGGATTAGGAATATCATCGAGACATTACTCAATAAATTATTGAATGTAACAGAAGAAATATATATCGTCGATAAAAAGAAACTGGAGTAAATTACGTTTTGAAATCCATAAAAATTTCAAGTAAAATTTAATAATGTATGTCGCCTTGTAGAGAATGACCTGACAATAAATAAACTGTAGACGAAAATACCTATGTGAACCTGGCACCCGACTTTAAGAAAAACAATTTTTTTTATATGCATTGGATAGAGCTAGGTTTGTACTCAATTGTACCACCGTAGAGCTAACTCCGCCAATTTTTAAGATATTTTAAATCTGTAAACGGGTGCTGTTTCGGCATCGCTTGTAGACGTTTGTACCACCGTCGGTTTCG